CTGAAGAATATTTTCCAATTGATTCAAATAGGTTTGTTTTTTTTTTTTTAAATTAAAATTAATTGAAATTTTTATTTTTACAAAATTAATTATTTGTTAGGATTCGTTTAGTATCTTATAATATATTAGCTAATGGATATGCATCATCAACAGATGCTCAACAAACAATTTATCCATATTGTCCACAAGATTTTCTTGAACATGATTATAGAAAACCACTTTTATTAAAAGAAATTTTAGGTTATTATGCTGATATAATATCATTACAAGAATGTGATATTGCTTTTTATCAACGTGAACTTTCATTTATATTAAAACAACATGGTTATTTATCTGATATGAAAATAAAAAGTGATGCTGTACGTGAAGGTGAAGCTATTTTTTATAGAACAGATCGATTTATGTAAGATATTTTTGTTATTTTTTATCTTAATTTTATATATATATATATTTGAATAAATCTAGTGCTATTGGAAGTCATAATATAAAAATAGGTGAATATTTACGTGATGCCGAACATTTGGAATATATTCGTCGTCGTTGTTCATTAGTATCAGAAATAAATACTAATTTATTAGAACGAAATACTGCATTACAAGTAAGATAATTCAATTTTGTTTTATTTAATCTAATTTAATACTAACATTTCATCTTTCAATCATATTTATGAAATATTCAAAGAATAATTTCAATTATATTTAGTTTTATTTGTAATAATTCTAAACTGTGTTGTTCAATAGTTTATATAAGAATAAACATAATATTGACTATATTTATATATAGTATCATAAATATAATTGTTTAGATATTAGCATTACAATTACAAGGACAATCAAATGAAATATTTCTAATATGTAATACACATTTATATTTTCATCCAAAAGCTGATATAGTTCGATGTTTACAAGCTATGATTGCATTTGAACATATCAAAGAAGTCAAACAACTTTATGAAGAACAAGTAAAAATATATTCTTTTTTACATATATATCATTTATCTTAACTATTAAATCTATTTAAATAGAATAAAAATGTATCTATAATATGGAGTGGAGATTTTAATGCTAATGTAACATCATTAGCATATCATCTTCTATTTACTGGCGTTTTATTAACTGATATAAATCATCGATCATACAATGAAGGTATTCATCACTTTTGTCAAATAATTATCTTTTATATATATTTATTATACTTAATTTAAGATTATGCTACAATAATAAAAGATTTTGATTATAAAAGTCCAACAGAATTAAGTACATATTCGAATTATGCATATACTAATTATATGTTGAATTATCATGGTGTTATTGATCATATTTTTTATGATGCAAAAAAATTCAAGTTTCAACGTTGTATACCAATGCCAACTCATGAAGAAGTTACAGAATTTACTGCTTTACCATCATGTAAAATTCCAAGTGATCATTTGGCTGTTGTTGTTGAACTTGAAATCATTAAATGATTGCCTGTTTTTTTAATGTTAAGAAATAAAATGATTTGTTATGTTTCAATATTCACATTTTTTAAAATATCAAGAAAAGTAAACTTCTAGGCTATGTTATCAGTATATTACTTAAACAATCCGACATTAGTTATAGTGCGAACAAAAAGAAGTTCTGCGAATTAGTAGCATTCCTTGAATAAGAAGTAGACAATACTTTTGAATAATCTTTTTATATTCATTGATATGTGTCAAACTGATTGCTCGATTATTGCTTAGTGAAATTTATTGCAACTAAGTAGATATTTAATCTATATTTTAAAATAGTTGCATAAGAGAAGATTAGACGAAGTGAGGTTAGTTGAATGTGATTGATAGACCATGTCTTTAAATTCTCTCTTTGGAAAATTGAATAACAACAGTTTTTATATGCGATATTCAGTACCATGATGGATTTAATACCACCGATATGCCTCATGATAGTCTTTATTGAAAATTTCTTAATTAATACTTTTTAAACATTGTTGCGATCATTAGATAGCACCTACAAACCGTATAGAATGCATCTGATGAATAATTAATGTTGGCGTTATCATAAAGAAAATGACAAAACATTGTTTCTTTACATGTTGTCAACTTCTTACAACGAGTAATATATTTTCTCCTTTTACAGACTAGGATTTCTCTTGTATCTACCTGATACTGCGATATCTAATCTGTCTTTCAACGCTCGTCATTATGTTACACCGTCGTAGTGTCCGTTTCATAAAAATCCATCAAATTTTGAGTAGTGAATCGATGAATATTACTAAGCAATAACAAAGCAATCAGGGGAAAACATACCGATGAATATAAAAAGATTATTGAAAAGTAAATCGAACATTGTTATCATGTCTTCTAACGTTTATTGTAGAGAAATAAATATAGTGTACTTCTTATTAAAAGATTATTATGAGTTCTCAAAACTTATTGATCGTTCTATGTAATATAAATAATTTTATTTCAGTGAATTTTATTTGTCAACCAATTGTTTCTTTTCGATATCAAAATCAAATTTATTTTCAATTTAATTTGAAAAAATTATTTTATCACTAAAAGAACAAAGTCATCAAGGATAAATTTCGATTGAAAATTATTTTACTAAGAAATTTAAATCATTAACAAGCAATTTTTAATCTGTTCAAAATCATCAGTTACTATAAAACATTAGAAATGATGATGCTAAAAGTTTTCAAAGTGAAAGAAAAATATCGTTGTATCAATTTTTTTTCATTGGCGATCAAAAATTATTTTTATAGTTTTGGCAATGAAATTTTTAATTTGTTACAAAATTTACTATTTCCAATCAGAAAACGACAATTAATAATGTCCATCATATTACCATACAACTTTGTATCAAAAGATTATGGAAAATGATGTTTCATACAGAAAATTTAATCTAAGAAGATATGAATCTTCATTTAATAATTCTTTGCCTTCGAGTTGGATCGAATAGACGGGAAATTTCAACATTTATCGTATAGTATTTTACGAACGTTTCTTTATTCCGTCTCATATTCGTAGATCTTTTGAGTTTTTACATATTGATGTGTGTTCGATTTGCAGCTTTTGCCTTACAGATCTTATGCCAATCAATTGAAAAAGCAATTAGTATTTAATAGTAAAAAAATCTTTAGCACAATTCATGTAGCATTAAAATGTGAAAAATGTTTGGAGATGTTGACATTATAAAAGAGGAAATTTATCAAAATATGTTTCAGTTTGTAATAAGTTGTTGCTATGATATCTGTCTAGTCTGCGAGAACGGCGAAGTTCAACTTTCTGTCTCTATACTTCAACCTTTCTTTTAGATCGTGCTCCACAAAAGACTCATTTGTATACAAAACTAATTGTGAACTGATAGATGAGACGACTACAGTAAGATAACGCTTGGAATGTTTTTTGAATATACTTTATATTCAACATTATGCTTAATGAACATTTTATGTTAATAAACCGATCGATCAATGTCTGAAAAAGTCAGAAATCATAATTAGACTTATCGCAAGATTCTTATTGAAAAGATCCTGATTGATGAAAAATCATGTGTTAGAGCAAGTCTCAGAGTCCATTTTCTAATTAATTTTAGGTTCAAGAAAAAAAAAATTATTGATCCAATTTAATCTTTGGAAATACTATATGTTACTATATGTGCTAAAACAAAAGTCAAACGAAGTTTACTTATTTTCATCATACAGAAATATCGAATTCAATTATATTTCGTTAGCTAAAAAAGGATGCAGTTTTTTCTTTGTATATGAAGCATATAATGCTCAAATAAAATTATATGCTAGTTAAAGAACAATCTTCTTTATCTGATAATGACGATCTCAAATAACAAATTAAATTCTTTTATTTTTATTTTTATTATGCATACTTTTCAACAAACAACATTAAAGAAAATACGTAGTTTAAATCGAAGAAATTTTTCTGGGTGGGTGTGGGGTGTCGATGTGGGTGTGGGTGGGTGGAGTGGATGTGAGTGTGTGGATGGAGGTGTCGATCTATTGTTACCCACACACACACCCACACCAGATAGAAATACTCTTATGAAAAGGTTTTTATTTTTCATTGTTCTATGGAATTATTTACTTATTAACTGAGCACTTATCCTCAATTATTTTTATAAGCTAACTCAAAATAAAGGAATATTTTTTAATATCTGTTTCTCTTGTTCTCATACATTTCAGATTGTTTTATCATACTTTATCGTGTAAAAAGATCTTATCAGAACAAATATAATTTCAAAACAAATTTTATCACACATAAATACGTAGATTACATGATTCTGTGGGTATTCTTGATGTATGAGTGATTGAATGGACGAGTTGGGATTTTTGTGTTGGAAAAGGTCGTTTTGTAGTGTTTTTTGACAATTTTTGTTGTTCATGACTCTTACCGAGGAGGCACGGGTGGATGTGAGTATATATGACTGCACGAATTGTGAGTGTGTAAATGTGACTCAGATGCATTTTTTGCAGTGTTGGGTATCTGGGATGTCTTTATTAATATCGAGTACTTCATATCAAAAGAAGCAGTAGTCGACATTTAAAGCAAGAGAAATATTTTTTTTCTTTCAAACGAAGAACGTGATGAAAAAATAATAATAAAAGTCATCACTTTATTTGCATAGAGAAAGGAAAATGCAAGTTGGAAAAAACCATCTGAATGTTGCACAATACTTTTTGCTTGTCGGCTGCTGTTATTTCATTTATTTCAATACAGTATAAGGTTGTAGCTCTTCTCAATTGTTTCTTGTTGGTCAAAAAGTTTTTATTTCTCTAATTGAAACATTCTCGTTGATCAAAATATGTAATATCTGTTTTTTTTGTAGACACCCATTCTTGCACTTGTACTTATATATTGATCGTATAGAAAACAAAATTTACAGCAAATACGTATTTCTCATGGAAGTATTTGGCTCATTTTTATCATCAGAATTAGACAGTGAAGGTCTGCTATTGTGCTCAATTGACTCTACTTTGCATTGATACTCTCATTTTCTTTATAGAGGCTGCAAAAATTGATTCGGTCAAATTAATTTCAATGCAAAATGTAGCAGATTTCTCTTCAGTAGACATAGACACATACTTAATCAAAACGGGTTTCTTTGAGGATCTGAATCCAAATGCTGATACAGAACATGTATTTTCAACGGTTATGTTAGAAAATCCAGCTTCAATAAGCTCTTCTGGTGAGCTTTTTGAAAAGATGATGACGAATGATGAAGCCGTTCTTCGCGCGCTAGAAAAAGAATTGCAGAATATCGAGTGGGAATTTCCATTGCCAACGAATACTAATCCAGCCAATTCGATTTCATCGGATAATCCAAAACCGTTCATCAGCAGTGATTGGGATGACCTGTTCAATGACAGCGATCAACATGGTAAATGTTGCAAAAAACTCACTTTAATCCTTATCCTTATTTGCATTTTCTTGTTCATGTAGAAGAAAACTATAGTCAAAACCAACACGAAGTATTCAAGATCGAAGAGCCTCCCACGACTGAAGCTGATGGTTTGTGTCAGTGAATAATTTATCTCTCTCATAAAAAATATCTCTATTCTTTCAGTACTGTACGAAAATTTACATGGATTACTACTAGAACAGCAATTATTTATGAGGCAAACAGATACAACTGGTCCAACGAATCGTAGTCTTGCCATAAATGATATCTCAGTAGGAATGACGGAAATCGAGAAAAATCCTATTGATAAGAATAAATCTACCAAAATAGTGAAATCATCAGTAAGTTTTCCACAATAATCATTAATAATCTGATATAATTTTCATTTGTATTTGGTTGGAATAGGATATTCCAATGACGTCCACCTTTCTTGAAAGTGGGCATTCAGTATTAGTATCTAATGCAAAATCGATGTTAATATCAATCGCTCCATGTCCGTACCAGCGTGCTCGATATGAAGACGAATGTTCAAAGGATAATAGATACATCTTTGTACCTTGGGATGGAATTTTGACACTCATTGTGAACCATTCTTCTAAAAAGTACTCATCTATAACTGTCTTCAATGAATTTGTTTAGATTCCCGATCTACGTTCAAGTTTATCGTCGGATATCGCTGTCTGGTTGCGCATCACTCGCATTACACTACAACATGTCGCAAGTGGCTTCATTTTACTTCATCCATATCCGATATGGTTTAACAATGATTATGCCAAAGTTCATGATGGCTCATTGTTTATTCGAGTCACAGAACAAGACATGGCAAATGGTTTCATCAAGTAGGTCGAATTGTTTCGATTTTCTTCTTAACAAAAGATCTTCTTTGGTTGTCAAGGATCGAATATCTTTCCATGCATCGACTCAGACAACGTGATCTAGCAAATATGAAAACATTAGCTGTTTATTCACAAACACAATTGACATCCACTAGTAATAAAAATATTTCCTAGAGTGTTGATCATATTTAATCATTGAGTCACATTTAGATCTGCATCCTATAGGAACAAGCAAAGCAAAAGAAATGCTAGATCAATATCATCTGCGATCGTCAAGGCTGGTTTTTCAGTTAGTTCTTGTCGATGAGAATAACATAGCATATTGCACTGATCTTACCTGTAATACAGAACCAATTCAGGAATATGAAGGTAAATTTTGACTCTCCATCTATCAATAAATAAACAAGACTAAGTGTTATTTTATTTATTTCAGCAACAGAAATGGAAAGCTTGAGACATATTTTGGATGCTTATGGTGTTCCAAGACGTCGGCGAAGTCCGGTCAAAAATAAAAGAATCGGTCAACTAAAGAAATTGCGAGTCGTAAGTTGATTTTGTGGACGAAACTGAACATCAAAGATTGATTTCTCTTATGTATAGACAACTTCGAAACAGAGTCGACGTGTGACTATTCGATAAACAATGGGCTGCAGGCCCTCATCCGCGAATTTTTATTGATCGAGAATCTTGATTCATGAAAATTCTCCATTTTNGTACAGATTTCAAATAGCCACACCAATCGATACTGCAATAGTCATGATGAGGATCATTATTGGTCGAATATTTATGCCAAAATATTGCCCAAGATCTTTCAAATAATAAATTTAGATCATGCTTGCATTTTCGAATGGTGGAGGCAAATGTCATTTGTAATCGAATTATATTACGACCTAAAATTAGAAAAAAAATCCAAATTTTCGATTCATTTTATTATTAAACTTTCTGGATGAGCAACATCTACCTGAAAGACGATTCTTACCACCAATTGTTTTACCATCAGATAATTTTTTTCGTCCATGCTCACGTTTGATTGTTTCTAATCCTCGTTTCATTCTTTTACTAAAATGATTCAAGTCTTCGAGTTTTTCGATAACTTTTCCTAAATAGAGAAAAAAAATATTTGCATTATGAATCGAACTATTTCAAAATAAATATATATTATACCTGGATATGGTACAATTTTGGAAAGAACTGGAAAAGTTTTAGAATCACCATCATCAACGTACTTCGTATAATAAACTCCATACTTTGAAACTGATCGTTTGAACATCTTGAGAATAGCAGCAGATTCCATTGTACCGGAGCTTTTGTCGTAATTTTTTTCACATTGATGTGATTTAATAATACTATCATATTTAGCTGAATCAGATTTCTTAAGCAACAAATAAGACTCATGTTCTTTATAAATCTATCATAAAAAATATCAAAAATTCTTTCATCTGATTCTGTCATATCTCAATCAAGTTTTTCAACTAAAGAAAATCTTAAATATCCATTGCAAGGTTACAATTTAAATCTTTTCGAAATTAATTCAATAGCTGAACAAGTTTTTTTTCCGCAATTATCTAATTGATAAATTTAATTTATTCAAAATTCATATAAAATCAATTGAACAAATTATTATTGCTTTAATTAACAATCAATGATTATAAAAGAATGATCATCAAAATTATACTCTGATACATTTTACAACAAAATGATCAGGATGACCTCTATTTCATATATCTTGACACAAAATATTGATTCATTTTTCAGTCATCTAAACGTAATTATTGAGCATCAAAAGTAGTTAAGTACAATCAAAATTTTATGATCTTTTTTCAAATATTTCATCAAAATATTTTTCTGACTTAGCATTGACTAGACACCTGAGCCAAGTGTTCGACAGTGTGGAAAAACAAAACATGAAAACATTTGTATCAACAATTTTTTTTATCTTGAAGAAAAGGCACGAAATTTGTTGCATTGTAAAAATGAGACTTCGAAAAACTTGATTTTTTGATTATATATTATTTGACAAGCCAACATCCATCATATCGTTTGTGAGTTGAAGCCAAAGACAGAATTAAATAAATAGTAAAAATAGAAAAAAAAAGCGGCTTTTGCATCGAAAATCATCAATTACAAACAATTGTTTACTTCAAAATATGTTTCTATATAACGTTTGAAAAAGATTTTCTATAAGATTAAAGACGATTTATCATTGATTCGAAATCGTTACATGTTCATTCAGGAAGTTTTTAATGTCAACTTAAATTTAGAATCAAACAAAACTCACATCATATAACTTGTAATTTTCAATGTATTATTTTGTAAAACTATATTTATTTTATCAGGTGATGAAATTATAGTATAATAAAAAAATATATGATGTTTTTGAGCAAGTTTAAGAGTTGCTTATAGTTATAATGTTAAGATTTGATAAACAAATGAGCATAAACGGATAATTTTTGCTATTTTAAAATAGTATTTTGTCTATTCATGTATTTAATCATATTCGCTGTTATATGGTCCTATAATAGTGATTATTAGAATGAAGACAAAACAGAAAACACACGACTTGTAGTACAGAATGACTTCAAAAATTGTTTCATGATCGTGACACAACTCAACTCTTTCAATTTAAAGCTTTCTGTGGGATTAAATGTAATACGTAATGTACCTGCAGTTGCTACTGATTAATGGGAAACTGTTTTATTATATTTATTTTGGAACAGATTTCTTCAACATCCTTTTACTTAACCCTTGAAATCGTGTCAAACAGTAGATTGTAAGAATTTTTTTCGTAGAAACTTCCTTTCATATAGTTGGATCATTCTTCTTTTCTAACTATTTAAGTTAATGTTTTGTTGTTGCTTATGATCATCTTCAATATGTTTAGTGTATTGTTATGAATCATTCTGTAATGGTTAAAGGTGTTTTCATTTTAGGAAAATATATTCTTTCTCAATAAGTGTCTTGTCCTAATAAAAAGAAAAGCTATTTAAAATGTTTTATACTCTGCAATCATTTTTATAATTGCTTTTTTCTCACATCGATAAGTCTGAGGTCTTGCCTGTGAACAAAACTATATGTCAAATGTATCAAACTCTTTATTTCTGAACAATCTAGACGCATGAGTTTTTTTTAATAGTTTTCTTTGATATTTTTCTTGATATATTTTTTCTATATGGAGACTTTTTGTTTCTAAGAATTGAATAGTGACAATTCGATCAAAACTGTAACGTTTGTATCTGAATATGTTTTTAATCTGATTTCTATCGATCATTGCATTCGATGATCTTTATTACTTATAACTGTTGTGAATTGTACAATCATAGAGCATTGCAGTAAATATATGTAGTACAATTGCTGAGGCACAGCTATTTTCAAAAAAGTAAATCAAAGACATGCGAACTAATCAAAATAGAGAAGTAGTGCCCGATCACATCTGATATATTGCTAAATTATGTGAGTTCTTACTGTTCGTGAAGTTACTTGCAATGGCTGTTATGAACCGTACAGTACGTTCGCGGGGACGAACTCGACTGAAAAACCTTGAGTAGTTATCTTATCAGAGAAATACCTACCATTATCATGTGAAAGACTAACAAAAAAGTTTTCTCGAATTTGATGTGACACGATTGAATGTCTCGTCCAATACGCATACAATAAATCAATAAAAATATTACGTCAACAAGAAAAATTTGCTGTTGTACACTTCATAGTCTTTATCAGTCAGTTGATTTGCAATTTACATATAGCATCAGTGAGAATAATCGTTAAAACAAAATTAACCAGTTCATTTGTATCCATTTTCCATTCTTCCTACAAAGATGTTTTTTCTACAAACCAACAAGCTTGTTTTATTTCGTTATCGCTGAATAAAATGTTTTTCCGAAAATATCTTCCCAACATTTACTGATCAGATATATTTTAAGAACCTTACCCTTGTATACTCACATTTCAAATGCTATACAAGAATTTTATAATTAGTCGATCTGAAGTAATGTTAAGGAAATTGTGTTTCAAAGCTTTTCGAACAATTACTGCATAGAATTCTAATTCTGACTGCAAACTGGAAATCGATACAGAGGAGCATTCTAAACTCTTGGCTAATCAACTAGGAAAGCTATTAAGCACTCAAATATTACTCCGTCAAAAGTTAGTTTTCTTTACAAAATCAGCCATTTTTCAGTGATGCTGATCAACAATTTATTATTTATCAACAAGAAAATCATCTATCTATTTCGTTTTCATTTGAATTTAGTCACAAGAATGTGCCATCAATTGTGTTTAGAACTATCTAAAAATTGCTATCATAGTTGATCATTTTCTTATTTTGTACTATCCTTAGATATGTCACAGTTGGCATCAGAATTCAGTTGAGTTTTGAATAAATTATTGCTTTAAAGTAAACAAAAAGATTTCGAATACAATAAGATTTTTCAACTTAGGCATAATTATATCATATATACATTGCATATTATTTGATACAATTGTCAAAAGAAAACAAATATAAATTATATTACTATTCTATTGTTGGGTTTCATTGATATTCGGATTTAACAAAAACTCACATTGACAATAATCTAACGAGAAAACGTTTCCAATTAATCAATCACTTTCTTGCCGAAAACTGGTGGGTAGTAGGTTACCGATCATGCTGATTCTGAATGTGACTATAAAAAATCTTCGTAGATCTTGACGTGCTTGTTTTATAGAAAAAACAATTTTCTAGACAAGTAAAATTTTTGCGAAGAGTTTTTTTTCATTTGTCCAGATTATAGAACATATCAAATTGCTTAGAAAACAGAAATGTTTTCTGTTTCAAATAATTTTTTGCAGAACATACAGTCATTTTAAGCTTCTTCTCCTCCTTATCGAAAGTCGGAATTTCCGTCAAAAAAATTAGTTTTAAAAATTTTCTGTGATTGGATAGTTCTTGTTTCCTTTATTCAAAAACAGTATTATATATTGACATTGTGATGCTTTTTTCACGATTTTACACAAGATTTACTGATGATGCTAGAATCGGGAAAAATGAGTTTTTCTGAAAATGTTAGTTATCATTGCCTATGTAATTTTCTCTAAGGTTTCCAAAAGTGAAGAATCTAGCATAAATGTGTGAAATAGCAAGCCTTTGGACAAGCTGAATCGTGCGTTGAATTTCTTTTCTTATTAGTGTTCATTTAACTCTGTAATCTTCGTTTGATCCGTTATAATGATAACACATGGTAAACTATGATCGATGTGTTTCCTTCAGCATGTTGCTAAACAGGAAAATGTGATTTTCCATTGCAAACTTTGTTTGACGTTTTTTTTAAGATGATTTTTTCTTTCATTATTTTAATTTTCGACTTAGTTTTTGAGAAAAATGGATCTTTTCTCACAGTAATATACGTATGTGTGCGAGCTTCTTCGAAAAAGACTGATGCCAAAAATTGATAAAGAAGAATTTGAAAAATTGAACTCTGTTAAGTTATAGTGATCAGTGTTGGCTACATTCTGATACCAATTCGAGATCTATGTCGTTAAATTCGGAAGGAGAAATCTAGAATACAATGACGTATACTTTTTGACACTTAATATAGAGATAACTCTTGAAGAACTCATTGTTTGGATCTGAAATTTTCAGCTAGATCGGTTATTTTGGATCGAAAATAGATTTTTGACAGATGGAGTGGTCCTAATTCATACAATAGATACGTAGCAATATTTACTGTGAAAATTTTCAAGATGATACTATTTTACTTAAAACTCATTATATACATAGAATAAGTAAGCCACTTACTAATTGATTGCTACAGTTATCATTGATGGAAATAAGCCCACTCACTTAAAATTTAATTTTTACCAGCAATATTTCTTCAGTTAAAAATCTGCCAACATTTGCACAGATATTAAACTTAACAACTCGATTAACGTTCAAAAAAAACGATTTTTTTTTCAAAATGCACTGATAAATACTTGCTTTCACTTTTTATGTTCTATTATTAACCTTTACAACAATATTAACAGACTAGAATGTTTCCAATAGATTGTTGACTATCAGCGTTATAAATAAAGACATACTGTAACGGTACAGTTTAAGATCAATATTAAAACAGAACATATACCAGACTGAGATTCCGACTTATTATTAGGAGTAACTCATTGATAGTAATACTTTACTATTGTCATCACAAAGTATCTCAGAGACACTATCAAATAATTATGTAATCTTTGAGAAATATCATCGTTATTAAAGTGTCTTTATTGAAACAGACAACATTTATATTTCATATGATTTTAGGGAAATTCATTGATTTGCAAAATGACGATCTTCAATAATTATTACAATAGAATTGTTTTTCAGTTTCAATCAAAATGCTATTAAAAAGTTCAAAATACTATTATTTTCGAATTTAAAAACAAGATAGACCTAAAATTCTGACTTCTGTAAAAGTTTCTTATTTACATTTGAAAAGTCTCATTTCCGATGCTACTCGATGAACTATTCTATTTCCTAATCTGATGCATCTCTATCTAAAGATAGCACATGTGGATTATGCTGAATAGTTTGTATTCCATAAAAAAAAGAATCTTATTTGTCTCATTTGTGGATACTCAATGTCAAATGAGAATCACTTGTAATAGTAACAAACAATTTTACCAATGATATAGGGCATCTCTATTGTGCTAAATTGAAAAATCTACATATATACGTACTGTTTGTTCGACCAGAAAACTATCATCAAGATTTTTCCTTATTATGGAAATAACTTTTTTGTTAAAAATTTGTCAATAAAACGTGCAGTATTTTGTCAAAGTTAAATATTCTTGGATGATATTGATAAATTAAAATCAAACGATTATAAACAAAGATTATGATTATTTCCATATTAATTTTAGTTATTTGTCTATGATTTGAAATCAGTTTTTCTTATTTAATAGACAACTTCTAAACATGTTTATGTGATGTGTACAGCAAATCTTACGTTTAAATTTATAAAAAACTGAACTCTGTATAGCTTGTATTTCGCTTTAAAATTATTCGCAATTTTAATAGTTTCTTCTGCCATTTGAATTCATTGTTTATGATCAATATTTACTTCTTTTTTCTCACAAGAGCTTCAAGGAGAAACAAACTGATTTCATCTTTTGAAATCAGTTTGTTTCCCCTTGCAAGAACTTATTAAATTTATGTTAACCTTTTTTGATTATTGTGACAACAAAAATAAGATCATATTCAAACTAATTAGGTTTTCTATATCTTTAATTACAAGATGTATAAGTGGCTATAAAAAGAAACTAAAAAATGGTTCTTCTTTGCTGCCTGAGTATTGTTCTGTTCGATAATGTGCTCAATGTTTTTATAGTTCGATATATTTCGTTTGACTTAGACACTTTTATGAGAGTTCTTTTTCTATTTTTTAAGTAAAATGATCTGTTATAATTTGTCAAATGATAATAAATCAATAGTGTATGTTGATATAAACAGGAAACGTAGAAAATAATAATATATTCGACAGGTTCATGTGCACAAAATGCAGAAATCAATACATTTGGACACTAGAGACTGTTTAATTATTCTTTTTCTCTTGTATGTTGCGTTACCATTGTAACGACGATTTTATGGTTAGTTATTATTAGAAACAAAACATTAAGTAGACAGAATATTAGAACAAGTACTATATAACAATCACTGATGGCATTATTCTTGTGATTGCAAGACAGACTTTTACGAAACGTATACATTATCTTCGTGTTTTATGGACATTGATATGTTCATATCATAAGTGACTTGTCCAACTCTGTTTAAAAGCAGTTACAGTTTAGATACTGGGGTGTGAATGTGGGTGGTTCTGGATATGCATTTAAAGACGACAGAGAGTCGCACCCATGCATCAACATCTACACCAACATAAACAGGCAAACCCACCCCACCCAACACCAACTGTACCATGCAATAAATAGCCATAGACACGTAACATATGCAAGAAAAAGCTCTACGACAATATTCATATAATATAAAACCATTCGAAAAGTCACTATACCGGAATCCATATAGAAGACTGTTGGATATTGAAACTTTAGTATTTTGGAAAGATCTTTTCTCGTGGAACCCGTGATTATAAAGAAATTGCGTTCGTATTGTACTATATAGTACGCTTGAAGAAAGAACCTGATTTTTGATACTTCTGATAAACAATTTTCGAGACACAATCATCGATAGGCAATACTAAATTTGTCTTTAGCAAAGTTTTAGATACAATAGGAAAGAACATTGGATATTGTCTTGACATTTAAATCTGATGAATATATTAATGTAGATTTGATGGACAACTGCTCCGATATTACTAATCATATTCCAATAAGAAGTGAGAAAATGCATTCATTATTGAATTTGAACAGTGTTTTGTATTTGAGAATAGTGCGAAAAATGAAATTTTGCCGCGAAGGTAAAAACAGCTCAAGAATGAAAAAGAGAAACAAAGAGACACTCACAATGAAAGGAAAAAAATTAACAGGAGCGAGAAACATTTTTCACGTGTAAAAACGTGTTCCTATTAAGAATAAGTTCTTCGACACCATCTAGTAAAAACCCAGTATCAATAAAACTTTTCACTACAACTTACTTGAAAATTTTCAGACTTTAATGTTTAAAAATATCATTGCAAAAAGCGAGAAAGTAATGTGCTATTTTAATTCGCTGCACTTTTTTCATTACTCTGAAGAAGATAAATAATGGAAAGATTGATATCTAGAAATAAGGATAGCGCATGGAAAAAAAAGAGATTTTTATGAGCACTGGAAGATCTCTTGCAGACACACTAAGTTAGGTCCATTTTACTTGGTACATCGAAATAAACAATTTTTCCTTGTTCCAACATAAGAATGCGATCACTGTTCGCTATTGTATTTAATCGATGTGCAATTGTCAGTATTGTACGATCATGAAATTTGTCTCGAATAACATTTTGAATCATACTGTCAGTCACGTGGTCAACATGGGCTGTAGCTTCATCGATAAGCAATATGTGGCTTCTCTTGAGAATGGCTCGTGCTACACAGATTAGTTGACGTTCTCCAGCACTCAGATTACTCCCCGATTCAGCCACCAATTGACTAATTCCATCGGGATGATTAAACACTAATTTTTTGAGTTGAACAGCTTCAAGTGCTCTAAGACATTCTTCATCAGAATACTGTTCGAATGGATCAAGATTGTATCGAAGTGTACCACAAAATAGAATCGGTTGTTGTGGAATAACACTTAAATGTGAACGAAGTTCATTGAGCGAAACGCAGCCAATATCAATATCGTCAATGAGGATACTGCCAGTGATTGACGATTGATCGACAAGTCGAAAGAGAGCCTGTAGAAGTGATGATTTTCCGGCACCTAAACAAAACCTTAGCGATTGATAAACGAATTTCGTTAACTCCTATTTGAACCAATTCAACAATTTGAGTTCTGTTAATTTTTCAAGTAGGCTTCTCAGAAAAAAGACAAAAACTTTAAAGAAATTTAAAAGAAAATTTTCATGTTAAACAATCTCTCTAACAGTTCAAATCCTGCAAGCAAATTTTTCATTTGTCCAAGCCTGCACAACTATGGATGTACACGATCATATCCTGTTCGAAGTCTCCAACGATAATAACAGATGATTCTTTTCTGCTTCATTAACTATCTAAACAAATAAGCATCATTCGGTCACTTCTCCGTCATTTAATTACAAAATATTGAGCCTAAGCTTGATAAATAGCTTTCTATCTAATTGTGACAAACTGTAATCCATCAGATTTTTTATTTTGGTAAATGTCTAAAATATCAATCAAGAAATTCCAGCTCCTTGAAAACAAACATTTAGAAAAATAAAAATTTTGTTTTATTGCATGTACTACGCATTAGTTAATGATCATTTCAATAGTTGAACCTGAACTCATTTCGATATCTGCGAGTCTTAACGTTAATTTACACATAATGCTTCTTAGTGTTTCGACAATTTTCAATCCTTAATTTTCGATCTGAAACATTGTGCTTCTGTTTATCTCTATGTAATTTGTACCAATAAAAAGATGTCTCGTCTTTATCTAAGCAAGTAATACACCGATTCATACTATAACATTAAAAAAAATTCAATTTCTAAATTATGTAGCATAACATTTATTTGCCGTAAGCATTATTGAGACGAACTGAAGGTGAGTTTTAGGGATAAATAGTTATGCCTTCATAGTAAGTAGGCATTGCTCCATGAATACTGTTATTGCTTCTCATCGATGGCCAAAAACTATACATTGGAGCTGTTTTATTGGGAAACTTCTAATTGAGAATTATCGGCAACATCACAAAAAGTATAGTAAGAAATTAATAACTAGGATCTTTTAGGCTACGTCTTCATTTAGTTAGTCCTACATTCCCACATTCCCACAATTTTATGGTCCTTTCAAACACTTTCTTTGCTGATCATCATTCATAAATATCATGAGAGTGTGAAAAGATCTGCAGTTGTTTCCCTAGCTCTTTGTTAAGATATGTCAACCCTTGGTTACTGTCTCTCAGATTGCTGTCAGAAAAAGTTTCCACTATAATCAGATATATAATATATTGAAGCATTTGGAGAGAATATAATTAGTCATACCCGTTCGACCAATCACTCCAATCTTTTCCTTGGATTCAATGCGTAGATTAAGATTTTTCAGTGCAGAATCCAACTCTGGTCGATATCGAAATGTGTAGTTTTTGAATTCGATAATACCACGAGAAGGCCAATCACTTGGTAGTTGAACAAGTACTTCATTTTTACTATTATTTCTATGATCTTCCGGTACAAGCTGACCATATTCATGAACACGCTCAGCACTAGTCATGAAATTTTCAGCTTCTACTGATTGTCGTACAGCCCACTGAAAGAGTGTTGTGATTGTGATACAGTAGGTAATGCTGAGAGCGGCTGCCGATGGGTCGATTTGATGGCGCAACGCTACTCCAAGAATAGCAGTAACCAATGTGAGTAAGCATGTCATATAACTGAGTTGTAAACCAAGCCAACGACCAACAGCAACGAGAGCAAAGTAAGCTCGAGAATTCGCATCAACTCTTTCCATAAACATGTGCAAGAAATCATCTTGAACTTCGAACGCACGAATACTAGTAAGCCCATCTAATGAGGACGAGAACAATGCATAGACTGGACTACGTGTTACACTTTCGAGCCGTTTGAGTTGAAGACTTGAACGTATGTAGAATCGGCGAAGCCACCAAAATGCGGGAGTCAATGGAACGAGAATCAGAAGCACCCATGGATTAGTGATTCCAATTATTATAACAGAACCAAGAATCATCAGAAGATTTTGAATAGTTTCAATTACAGTCGAAGGTAATAATTCGTCTAAGACCTGCTGATCTTTGCTTGCTCGATTTAATATTCGTCCGCTCGGATTACTTTCGAAGAAACGCAACGAAGTATACAAGATACCATTGAGCATTTGATTATGAAAGCAAGTCGAACCACATAACATAACATAGATAAGAAAACCGGTACGCACTAATGCTGTAATCAATGTACCGATCGTCAATCCAAGATAGACATAAGCATCCAATGATGAACTCGTGTTTTTTTCAGATTTAGCAGACCACATAGAAAGCCAACGATTTGTGAAGTCGTACAGAGCTTGAGTACCCAACAGTAAAAATATGAGTAGGATAAATCCAAACCAACGTAAAGGTGGTGCCGTGAATAATTGAAACCAAACATTCCACTTGACAGCACCATCGGTTGATGTTTCACTTTTCACAATCGAATTCATATCAGCTATAGCAGTATTAAGTTTAAAATCCGTTTCGTCATCGTCAGATGAATCTGCTTCCGTGGTAGTATTCGATTGTTGATCTTCATCAGGTCGCTCACTGTACAATTCATGGATGTGGCCATTTGCTAAGCGAATCGTTTGATCTGCTTCATCTAAGAAATGTACCTGATGTGTAACCAATATTCTAGTCTTCTGGCGAAGAAGGCTACGTGGACCAATACATTGATCAAATATTTTCTTCGCCACTTTTGGATCAACAGCAGCAAGTGGATCATCGAGTAAATACAAATCGGCATCAGCATAAAGAGCGCGAGCGAGTGATATTCGAGCTTTTTGTCCACCACTTAGATTGACACCTTTATCACCGATCATCATTAAATCACCAATTTCACCAAAATTCTGTAGATCAATATCAAGACAACATGCTTTTATAACACTCTTATAACGTTCTTCATCCATTGGCTTGCCAAGTAGAATGTTACTTCGTATAGTGTCAGTAAATATCCACGATGATTGTGGAGCGTACGAAATAGAACGAACACATTGCCGTATTGTTCCACTGACAAGATTAATCTCACCAAGAATGGCAGCTAGTAGAGATGATTTTCCAGCACCGATAGCACCTTTCACTCCAAGCAATGTACCATATTTGACTTTGAGATGAAGCGACAATAGACAAGGAGTATCTTTCCAAGAAAAAGATGCATCTTCCATTATAATTGCATGATCTCCTTTTTTATTTTGTTCTTTTTCTCGCCTATTCATTAATATTTCTAAACGCATAAATTGATCAATTCTTGTGGCAGCAACACGAGCTTCACTAAGCTTTTCAATAATCAATGGCAACAACGACATTACTGGCGCTCGAACCAAAGAGAAGAATGACAACGCCGTAAAAATGTTTGCTGGTATTAACTGTTTCCCTATGAGCCAATCGCCACCAAATGTAGCAAGAGATATCAAGGGTAACGATGCAAAGGAAATACCACTATTCAGAGCACGCAAACGACTAGAGTTTGAGATACTCTGAAGTTCAGATAGTCGTGTTTCCTGCACTAATTTTTCCATAGCTTTTTCCCAATTGTACATTTTAATAATTTGACATCCGTTGACAAGCTCATTGATCGTCTGAACTCGTTTGTCCGTACGTGTCATAGTTATCTTACGATATCGACTGAATAATCTACTGAATACGAGTTGCAGAGGTACTAATAGAACGAGTACAGCATAGCCGAATAATGTTGATAATCCAACGTTTTGCCAGATAAGACCGAACATTATGAGAGCTTCCAAAGGTGCCACCCATAAGTAATGAAAGTAAGAACACATTTCTTCAAATTTACCAGCATCATTTGCAACTAAATTGATTGTTTGAGCAGCAGTAGTTCTATAAAGTGATGCCGTATTGATCGTCAGTAATTGTTTATATATCGCGCAACTTAGTGTATTGCGAACGCGAATACCTACTCGTTGATTTCGAAAAAAGCTTTGTTGATGAATAATGGCTTGTAGAATCGAACAAATACCAAGACCAACAGCTGATAAATAACCCGCATAAGTCGGTATCTCTGATGCATTACTGATGTAGAGAACAATTTCACGAACGAGTAATGGCTGTACGACACGTGTTGCGGTATATGCCAACATGATCAACATAGTTTGCAATAAATCTTTCATAAATGTTCGTCTGATTACATACCATGTACCTGGCCATTTAGAACTATCGTAGTTGGCTTTGTTCAACAAAACGGAACACTTATCGTTTACTGAAATATCGCTTAAATCGTCGTCGACAAGTGTGCGCCGATTTCCTAATGAAAGAATAGGTTTAATCCACCACCAAAGTAGCACATGTATCCATCTTGTCCAAGACGATTCTGCCCAATCCAGACGACAGGATTCTCGTCTTTTATCTGGCATATATGGGTGCACGGCACTCTTGTTGTGCCGTGGTGTTGCAAACACTAAAGAAACTTATATCTTAGAGTCTCCTCAACTTATTTTGATAATTTTTCTTTAAAAACACGTCTCATTGTCTGTTCTACTCACCATAACAGTATTAGTAATTTTTTGACTGTTATTAACATATAGTTTTCAAACAAGAACAGTAAAAGAAAACCGTGTTCTTTTGCGTCTCCTACCTATAAATTATCACTTTTCTGTGTCCCAATTTCGATTGAAGGGCATGGTGGTGAAGTTGGACGTGGGTACAAATATCTTTCTCATGTTTATCTTTGCGCAGAGCTCATTCAAGTATGGTTATTTCTGTCATCGTGAAAAAATATTGGAAGTAACTCACGAGAGAATCTCTTTAGATCTACAATCGCTTGCCAATTGAAGCAATATTCATTATATGAATACTAGTGAGCAAGACAGAAATAGACAATGATATGGTTTTGTGGGTCGTCGCTGTCAGGATATCGAAATTTCACCGGATAAATCGATAACAAGGCGTCAAACTTGGCGCACAGTTCTGAGTGAGATTAGCTAGTTGTGCAAGTTTCGGTTTTTCTAGTATTCCCTATCTTGAAATATTCATAATTGGAAATTTTTGCATGTATAAAAGCGAATTTTTTTCATTTATTTACATATCTTGAAAAGAGATACTAGCAAAGCTAAGTACTGCACAATCGAATAGTCTCATTAAAGGCTTTGCCTGTGCCAAATTCGAAGTCGAAACTTGATTCTCGACGTGACCTGAGAGCGACGGTCCACAAAAATTATATTGTTGCATCTACACTCATCATATGTTGAGAAGTGAGAGCTCTAAAGATACAAAGCTATAGCCATAGAGATATTTCAAATAGCCCAAATTGCTTACGTTACTAAACCTTTATTTCTGTGTCACGGCGTGCAGCAAGGAAATGCTCCCGAAGAGTCGCGACTCATAGTCACCTTTCGTGTTTAGAATAAACCCCACTAGCCCTTTTGTTCACTTAAAACATTGAATCTTCTATAACTCACTACTGATATACATCTACTGTTATATAGCCATATACCTTTAAATCCCTGTGGCATTTATAATGTTATACCTCTATTTCTTTAATACCTCTAATACCTCTATGAATACGTAGCTGCTAATGATTCTTCTTTTTTCGATTTTATCGCTAATTCAAATTACCTAATCAACTCACACGCATGTGTAGATAAAGTTTTGCACATGGTTCTTAGATTCTCCTTTTCAACATGGCTCTATTGATATATGATAATGATGCAAAAATCTTTATTTCAAAATATTATTTTGCGAATTAATCACCGAATATTCATGAATTTAGATAACTGGATTGTTTTCTAAATGAAAAACTGATAGTTGGGAAAGTGCCTGACTCCTATAAAACAAATGCAGCCCTATCGAATGTGAAACTCAAATTTTGTTCACATTCAGCACAATTCGTCCATATTTATTATTAGTATGAATTTTAATAGTAATCTTTGTTGCAACTCTGGCATATACAAATCGGGCATTTATTTTATCAAAACATAAATGCTTTCAGGCTTTCTTCTCTTGATAAAACTAAACTACTAGTTTTCTCAACTACATCATGCTTCAACTTAAGTCTTCTTGATTCTTCCTTTGATCACAGATATAGCACGATGAATCTTGTGAATAACTGGTAGTTCCCTTCTCAATTAACTTAAATGATGATTAGCTGATCCGATACGGTTTTCATTTCGAATGAACGATAAAAAAATAGAAAACTATGAATCCAGATCCTTCTAAATATGACAATGTAAGATGTGTGAAGATTATTTTCCAATGAAATAGATGTGACTCTACTCAGCTGTTTATGCTGATTCAGAATCTTAAGCGCAGGCTATACACGAAAATAAGTCTAATAATAAAATTATAATCGGATTATCGTTTTGTTTATGTTTTAAAACTGTAGAGTTGGTTTGAAACAATAAAAACGGCAAAGTTTGTCCTTCCAATAGTGAACACAGCAGTTTAACCAAGTATAAAAGTTTTTCTCTTTGTTGTATAATTTAAAACTATGACTGTTTTTGAACTTTTCAACAAGGCGAACAATCTTAAAAATATGGAATCATTTTTGTTAGTTTCCTTAATGGGATTCATTCAGCCATTTATATAAAATCTGAAAAAAAAGCATACTAAAACTGACTGTCTACATTTGTTCGTTGAGTCGTAGTTCGTAAAAACAAACGATCTAGATTGTTCATTTTAAATTCATTTGAATAGTACTAATTACGACAGTGCAAATAAAGAAAGAAAAAAATAAATTCTAATTTACTGTTCAATCCTATTGTAAATTGAGTCTTAATTGGTGTACCAGAGTAGAACTTATTCAGAAAAATAAGTTTGGTTCAAGTTAAGATCTTGACTAGACTATCGTCTCAGAAAATGTCATAATTGTTAAACATGGGATACCAGAATTACAAGTGTTTCAAACTATAGCTGTACTTTCGTCGACATCGTAAAAGTATGACAATTTTGAAAATTTCGAAATTTCATTTACAAGTTGTTTGAATCAAGAGTTCTCTCCAAGAAAATATTTGAGATCGAAATGAAAAAATCTAATCTTGCTCAAAAAACTTTATTCCAGCGGATAGTCCAATAAAAAGCCAACATTTCCGCCAAACATTAATAATCATATGTATTCTTGATAATTATTATAATATAAACATTCTATGCTCATTGGAATATGAGGAAGCTCAAAGGAAAGTGTCACTTGAGAACGATGTCACGTTTGTTTTATGCATGCGAAAACTGAAGCCGGTGACCAGTATTTTCTTCCTTTTAATTACGGTGAGCAAATGTAACGAATTTTTTCTATATATCACAAAACGTGTTACAAAACAACTTCATTTAATCCCCAATAGTCCGTGCTTAATCTTCAAAGAAAATATTTTTATCAAAACTTGAGGACAAATGTGATGTTATTTTTGCACTCATCAGTCGTTCGAAACATTAAGTCTTACTGGAAAGTTAAAATTTCGATAAAGATTAGTTAAATATTCATCAAATTACATAATTCATATGGCATCAATAATTTAATTGTAAAACGATACATTTTCCAAGAGAAAAATTTCCAAAAGATTAATTTCTCCTCGTTACTATTGTCGATGGATTTCGATCTTCAACCATTGATTGTTTTCTTTCGAATTTGACTGATATTTTTTTATGTGGATAGAACAATTCTGTATTTATTGAGTGAAAATCAAAAACGCTTTATACTTCGAACTGACATTAAATAAAAGGAATTCATTCGATTGGTAAATTTATCATTCAAAGCACTTGTGAAATACGATCATCGATTAGACTGAAGATATTTCACCGGTTTCTTTCATAGTTTTAGCTATATATGTATAGACGGGTAACAACAAATTACATATTCAAGTTTGTTTTCAATCGAGATAGAAAACCGGTATGAATAGAGCATGGTACAACATGGTATACATGAATCGAGTGATCATCAGTTTAGAATCAACTATAATCTTATTACGATACAATTGTGTTTCGTTTGCTTCAATTAGAAGGATTAAGCCTTCTTTGAAATAAATAAAGCATTTATAATTAACATTGAAAAATTAATTTTCAGATTCTTCGCCAAAGTTCAATAAAAAGTGCAATAGATTTGAAATTTCATTTGAATGATTTGCTCATCTTTCTTTTTCTATTGTCTTAAAAATTTATAAAAATTAAACTCATGTGCCATCCGCTCCCCCCCCCCCGCCCGGATTCCTCCGCTTCCTAATTCATTTCGTGTTCAAGTTTAATATTTGATTAAATTCTGATCCAGAAATCACAAATGAAATCTTCGATAAATCGATTTCTTAATGAAAAAATTCGAAGTAATAAATCAAAGTTTACTCATTTTTCAATAATAATAATAAATATTATTCAATTCGACTCAATATTTAAATTATCTTATCACAAGTATTCTTTCAAGCTATTTTCAATATCTCTCGATTCTCAAAAGAAAAAATTCTTAAGTGTTTGATAGTTGTTTGGGGGTCTTGGTTTTCTTTTTAGAAACAATCTACATTCATACTCATTAATATCAATTAATAAAAACTGTCATATTATTTAATATACTTACGGTCGGTTTTCATCATTTTCAAGATGGTATTGTCAACGAAATGACCGGCTAGGTGTATTTACAGCAAGAAAAGAAGTATCCATTATGCTAATAGTCTTATCGATCTCTGACGAGGTAAAATTTAAGCATTGTGTGCTCTTTCATTATGATACAGCAATGCTTAGCAGTATTCATGTAATGATAACGACTATCTTCCATATGCTCTTCTCCTCTTGTTTGTTCGTTTTTGTCCTTCTTCTCTTTTATCTTTCTCCTTGTCTTATTGTCTATGATATAATCATACTCTGGAGATATGAATGAGGCCAAAAAATATCTGCACTGAGAGTGCAGATATAGTTATTGCTGTAGATTCTAGTTGCATCAAACTGATTTATTCTGTTTTTGTTTTTGTTTTGTGTTTGTTCGCACAAGAATCGTGTCATACTTGAAGCTTTCGTTTGAACTTGAGGGTAGTGGTGCATCCAAGGGGAGAAGGCTGTGCCCCTCCTAAAACTTTTTTCTGATTACGCTACTACTTGAGGCATAGAGCAGTCGAAATTCCAGTCAGGTTTTTTTTTCCTATGATGGAGGAGTACACTTATGCGACTGTAACGTGAATGTCTGATCCTGTGGGTATGTTTTGATAGGTAAAAATAAAACTCATACCATATGCATAGACACCTATCTCAATTCTATTGAAGAAACCATAGTGGAAAAGAAAAGCCGTATACTGTATTTTTGATCGTTTTATGACAATCATGTAATTAAATTCGGTTGTGAACTTTATATTAAAAAAAAATCGATTATCGAGACTTATACGTATGTTTTATATCTAGAAAAAAAAAAGTAATTTCATGTTAAAGGTTCCACGCCAATTGATCA